CCCCCCCCCCCCCCCCATCGGTGTTTGCCATCGGGGTTGGGTTTTCGTCGCTTGTCAACGACTTAGTAAAACAAGACAATTCACTTCGTGAGCTCGGCAACCAGGTTACCGTTTGTTTGTTTTTACCTCTGTTTTTTTTTGGCGGTAACCATGAGTGGTGGTCGAGTGGATCATGTTTTGCGGGGTGGAGAAGCCTCACTCCGCGCGAGGGGGATGATCGCACCACGTTGTGTTAAAATGGTCAAGCACCCTCGAGGCAGTTACACAGTGCTTTTAACTGTCTCTGGATGTGAAAGCACCAGAAAATAAATCAAGTCATACGCAGCTGTCATCCGTACGCAAGAAAGTAAGCACAAGATGCCGAACACCCTTAGCAGGATGCAGCGCACCCTTCATGCGACTCGCCGAATATATCACGGCGCTTCGCGCTTGGTGATGTGAGAGTCTCGTCCGGTGAGAACCCGGCGTGCTCCGTCCCGGCTTTGTGGGATGCGAGGTCAATGTTCGAACGACTACGGCATGCACGACTATGAGTACATGTAGTACGTGATCAGATGTATATACACGTAAGTACGAAGGTACAGCTGTAGTAGGATGACGCGTTCGTTGTGCTGCACTGATGCAATGGGAGATCGTATCGGCCCAGCTATAAATTCTGCACGTCGAGGTTATCGCCTCCAGAAGTCGGGGTGGTGGTCTCTTAGAAACCTACCGTGGCTGAGACGTGGCCCGTTTCACGGCGCTGACGACAGCGCTGGGCGAGCCTATCTTACTGCCGTTGTCAATGAGTGCCCTCCTTCGTGCTCGAGAGTAAGATTTACGTACTGCTGACCAAAGCTGTGCGCCGCGGGAGTTCCGTAATTGGCTCAGGAAATAAGGCGATGCACTCCTTGCACCACGTGAAGCGCGTGGTAGAGCCTCCTCTAGTGCACGGCATGCAGTGGCCAAGAATCGGCGCCAACCTCGAACAAGAAGCTGAAAGCAATAGCTGCCGAAACCACTCTTCGGCCTTAACAATCTTAACCCACCGACTCCCGCTTCTTGCTGCGCGTCGACGATGTCTGCCGTCGCTGTGTCTACCGTTTCTTTCGTGTTGATCATGCTTTTCACGCATGTGGGCCTGCCCCCCGAAAGCTATTTTTATGGGGTCGGAATGCGTCATCGAGAAAATGCGCGGCAAGACTGACATGATGAACTCCGTCTACGCGGGGTGCGCGACAGGGGCGGCCTTCGGCATGAAGCAAGGCCCGCAGGCGGCATGTTTCGGCTGCGTGGGGATGGCCACGTTCTCTGCGCTTATGGATAAACTCATGGGGCACTAGGCACTCTTTGGCAGTAACATTTTGGTCAGGATAAGATGTGACGGAGCGGTCAGGCTGGCCACTGTCGTCAAGAAGCGAGCTCTTCCTGTCGTACAAATGGGGGCACGACAACGTACTGCAGCGCGAAACAACACTACGATTATCGCGTGTTTTCGACGATCTGCCTGCGCGGAAGGAAGAGCAGGGCTGTCTGTGTCACTGCTGTAGGTGTTCACGATACATGTAGAGAAAAAAAATCTGTGTGAGGTGCAAGCCGGGTTTGTTTGGTTTCGGTTCGGTAGCCCATGGCGAGCGCAGTGCCGGCTGTTGGAAAATGCCTTTGCGAGTGCCTGCAGCCTTGCAGTGCACCATTTGTGCAGGGTACACAAGGTGGCATCGATTTTTGTGAGACGATGACAACGAGAATGTCCGCCGAACCGGGCCAGCCGTCATGTACAGTAGTGGGATACCATATTTTCAGGGGTTTGATTCATCAGTCACACCGTTGGGGTGCGTATTGCTCGCTCTCAAGCCTCGACCCTCTTCTTTTTATCTGCTGCCGCCGACCACTACCTATATCTCCAATCCCACCGGTGGGTATAGTCTGCAAGTCAAACCAAGCGTCTGGGGAAACACGCCGTGGAAAAGAAAAAAATCCTCCATCCTACGTCTCTTAACACATGACCAGCAATGAAATTCTTTGCAATTCTTATTCTTTCAATTTCTGCTGTTCTGGCACAGCGACAGACACAGAAATTCGTCGGTTGGATCCTCTCAGCCAAACCAAGCATCTGGGGAAAAATGTCGTGGACAAAAAAATATTATCCTCCATCCTACGTCTCCAACATATGACCAGCCTATGAATTTTCTTTGCAAATTTTTGTTTTGCTAGCACAGCGACACAGAAATTCGTCGGCTGGGTCCTCTCAACCGACACACACCCATCCACCCACCGACTTTCCCACTTCCTACCAATATATTCCCCGACTCTGATTCTTCACAGTACCACCCGCGCACAGTAAGCACAGGCTAAACAGTCGTTTGTGAAATGCTTCCAACAGACGAAATCCCGCTGCTACATACTTTGGCCCTGCCATTGCCTGGCAACCCCCGCTGGAGACAAGGAACCGTCCTCCTGTTTTACGTTCTGCATGATACGGCCAAAACCAAACGCCAAAACCGAGCGTCGTTGGTTGCACTGCGACATGCAAACTAATGTGAAAAATACAGCAAGGTAACAGAGAAAGAAAGACAAAAACAGCAGAGAACCAAAGCAATAACCTCGACTGCCGCGGGCAACAAGCAAAACACACCCGGCAAAAGAAAATCGAAGCAGCACTAAGCGTGAAGCGCCATTCCCCCCTACACCACCACCCCCTCCGCCCCGATGCCCGCAGACCGGAAATGGTGCCAGTTCCAACTTCAAAACGTTCAGCAGCTCGTCGGTGCCATCAACTACCTCTCTTGCTCCGTGCCTTCTTCTCTGGACGCCTCTCTACCCTTCCACCCCCAGGTCTCTCACACCACCCGCGCGGAGCTTTTCTGAGGTTAAATCGATGGCTTGAGCACCCGCCGCCCACTCCGTGCAGACAAAAACATATTGGTGTTATTCCATCTCCGTTCTCCTTCGGGTCTCCGTCCTTGCCAAGGAATTTTCCATGTGCGGAACGCTTCTTCTGTGGCACTCAGAGCACCTTCACTCTCACCCGACCCGACGTTGCCTCGCCACGCCCCCCACGTCCAAGTCA